TTTGGCTCTTCCTGAAAGGCAGCTATTTTTTGGTCCTTTTGGTGTTGCTGGGGCTGGGTGCCAGCACTGCAGAGCTCTGCTGTGAGAGCCACAGCGCTGCCACCATGTCCTTGTCAACTGCAGCATCTGGGCACTGGGTCAGCACTGAAATCCCAGAGTTTGATTGCGGCATGTTGGAATAATCTGGATGCACGCCACGGCCTATGGACTTAATTCAAACCTTGATAAAAGTAATTCCTATTGCTTTCCCAGCAGAAGGAGGACTGGAAGAACGGGATCCTTCCTCTTGCAGAAATTCCTACCAGAAACCTGCATTTTAATTATCTTTTCTGCAACAGAGAACACATAATGTGGAACATCCACAGCAAAATCACAGGGTAATGACTTGAAGGATGTATCACTCACTTCCATGCTTTATAATTATGGAATCCTGGGTTGGAAGGGACCTTAAAGGTCATCTGGTTCCAACTCCCTGACATAAAAGCAATTTTGTGTTATTATCATAAAACCCTGACTGAGGAGGCACACTGAGAGTTAATGGAGAGCAACAGCAAGTGAGTCCCTGTGTCCCAGAGAGAAGCAGGGATAACTTGTTAGTGGTAGTGGTGGTTCACTGCAGTAAAATTATAATAAAGTGGGATAATAAAAGCAACTGTTTTGTATATTATATTAATACTTAAATAATATTTGAGTATCATAATATTTGCATATATGTATTCAAATAACTATAAAAACTCCCTCCAGAAGTGCATCATACTGAAGTATTTATTACAGACAACCTTAGCAGTTTCCAAAAATTAATACTCTTCCCCCAGCACATTAATTTCTGAGTTTGATCAGGGGTTTTTTTATAGAAGGACACACAAAAGGAGTGTGTCCTGTTCCTGCCTCCCCATCCCCAGCTATCCATTGGCTTCCCAGTTCCAAGCAGGTTCCCCAGGAGCTGGTCAGGGTGAGCCCAGCAGTGGGTAATGCAGAGGGGGGAGGCAGGTGAGGATTTCAGGCCTTGCTCATAGAGGTGTCATGGAGATGGTGGCTATAAAAAAAATATCTAAAGGGGTAATTTTCTTACTTCTGTGTTTATTTAAATAAACACCAAAAAACCCCCCACCAGCCCACACCAACCCACCTGGGTATTCCTTGGAAAAAACCTCAACTTTTCATGTGTTCACTGCTCACCTCCATTGATCTCTCTCCCCATCCAGTGTCCAGCTGCAAAGCCCACTTGCATCACAGGACTTTTCCTCATGCGTCCCAAAATAAGTGATCCATTGATCCTTCACACTTCCCAGGGCAGAGGTGGCCATGCCTGGCCTGTCCCCCAGGCTCTGCAGTGCCTAGAGGGATGATTAAAGAGTGGGGACATGGGGGGTCCTTCCCCAGGAGCAGGGAAGGGGAGGTAGGGACAACCCATCCCATTGGACTTGGTGGCTTTTCAGGGCACTCAAAGGCTTTGTGTTGCCATTTCAGTCCCTGAACTGTGACTGTGGGCAGCAGGAGCTGCTCACAGCGATGCCTCAGCTCACTCCAAATAACAGGGAGACCTTGCAGAGTCTGAGCACAGGAGTATCCCACTCAAATCCAGGAGGGAAATGCCAAGCCCGGAGCTGACTCCGTGCGGTTCATGCTGTGCCAGCAGCACCAATGGAGGAGGATTTGGGCAGGAAATCTGCTCTTCCATCAGTTACTGCTGCACCTGCACACATGGACACAGCAGGACCAGGTGTGTGTGCAACAAATGAACCAGATCAGAAAATTCCAGAGTCATTTCAGTTGGAAAAGACCCTTAAGATCATCCAGCCAAGCAAAAGCAGAGACACCTGCCCCTGATCCTCTGAGCTCTCCCTGTGCCCGGTTGCACAGTGTGGGGCACTCCAGGACAACAGGATCTCACACTTCCAGAGACAGCTGAGAAAAATGTGTCTCAGGCAGCAGCTCTGGGCTCCTCAGGTCCAGCCCTATAAAGTATAACTCTAAGGGTTTTCCCAAATTAAAAAAAAAAACACGTCGATGAGTGAGTTTTCCAGTGGGAAACCCTGGGGCAGGACTGGCTCCCACACCAGGTGATGGCTCACTGTGACAGGCAAACACCTGCTCACCAGTGACAGCCACTGACAGAGGAGACCCCATCAGACCAGGGGTGAAGGTGAAACCCATTTCAGCTGAAACCCATTTTGTCCCCAGGAACCCTGTTCCTCCGATGCAGATCCCAGCATGACCCTGTTCCCTACTTTCTCCCTGTTTCTTGGCAGGGACTTCCCAGGTCTCCTGCCAAGAGAGGCAGTGAGCACTAACTCCCGGCTCTGTTCCACTCCAGTTTCAAGGACAGCTCCTGCTACAGAGCTCCTTTCAGCTCCTTCCTCTGTCCCTTGGGCCCCATGGACAGTTGTTTTGAAATGAGTGAGAGCTTCTATTCTGACTACAACAAAAATCACCTTACCTTCCAAAACCACCTTTGCCCAGGCACTGCACCTTCCCATCTCCGTCTCTCCCACGATATTTTGCTCCTGCCTCAAACACATGTAGTGGCTGCATCGTGGCAAAAGGAGCTGGCTGGAAACATGGAATAAACCCCTGTGATCCGCCACAGCACGGGAAGGACTCAGCTGTGTTACACAAATAAACTGACCTGAAGTTGAGGGGAAAAAATAATGGTGGAAAATAACAAGATAACTTGTCCCAGCTCCTAATTTCCTCTCCCAAAGGCAGCTGCTGCCTGCAGGAGCGGCCGGAGCTGAAGCTGTAACTGGAGCCAGGGCAAGGCAGACGCAGCAGATGGTGGGTTCAGAATATGCAGATTTTGGCTTTATATGTGAGCAGAGAGAGGTGAAGAGAGGGATCGAATGTCCGTTTGATCCGGATGAAAATGCCAGACTGAGAAGCAGTTTCAGGAATTATTTATGGGATAAACTAGTACAGCCGTGGCCTCAGCTGTGGGTCAGGACCTGGGTTCACCTGCACGACCAGGAACCCCAGGAAGGGATTCTGTCACTTGGTTCTACACTAATTACACTGAAAATCTCTTTTTGCTGAAGCAGAAGAGACCAGCTCACATTTGCTGTATTTCTGACATCCACAGCAGGATTTCTGTAGAGCAGATGAATTTGTTTTCCTAAGGAGCAACACTTGGTCTGGCCATTTGGAAAAAACATGGGGTAGCAGTGGGAGGACAGGCTGGACTCCCAAAAGTGCTGATACCACCATCCATCGAGGGAAGACCCCATGCATTTCTCCTAACAGAGCAATTCCTGAGCTCAGCTGGAGGCACAGTCCTGCATGACAGGGACAGAAGGTTAACTCCTGCATTTTCCCCACATTCCCAGGAAAGCCTTCCCTGGTTCCCCAGCTGATCCTTCCCATGGTTAATGCTACTCTTGTCCTTACAGAGTTACTGGGTAAGGACTGAGTGCGCTAAAATCAACGTGAGCTTTTCACGTCTTGAGAAAGAAGATCTTCAAACCTTCAAACGCAGCTAAATTATTTTTCCAGACACTCACCTCCCACATCTTCACACTCCAGGGGATGTTGGATCTGGTGGACAAACCCCCTGGAGAGGCAGAATCCAACAGCCGAGCCCATTCCCGGGACCCTGGAGTTGTGCCACATCAAGTTCCCATGCCGGCAGGAGGGAATTCCTTCTCTCAGATAAATCCTAAGTCAGCATTCCCCTCAGTGCTTGTCACAGCTTTACCCCTGGAATGCTGCAGGAACCTGCAGGTTTGTCCCACAGCCTCCAATCACAGTGAAAGCGAGTTTTGGGGTCCTCAACAGAAAACATCTTTTAATCCCTCACCACACACAATATTTTTGAAACCAGAACATCAGATCTGCATCACAGTCAACATCAGAAACAAAGCAGCCCACAAGAGCCAGGTCAGCAGCTTGTCCAAAAAAATCAGCAGCTGGGTTTTGTGTTAAGCTGGTCTTAAATTCACACTCGCTTTGGTTTTTACTATTGTCGCTGGGTTTTGCCCTTTTGGTTTTGCCTCTGTTAAGTTTTACAGAGATTTAGCTTTGGAATACACAATAAATTCATCCTTCTTAGCTCCTCAAAATAGTTCTCTGAAAAGGCACATGTACAAAAATATTTACCAACTATGAAGTAAAAAAAAACCAAAACCAACAGATTTGGCTTGCAAATAGGTATGGGCTTTTTTACCTGGTTATCCCAGAAAATACAGCCAGAATGCAAGACCTGATTTTCCTCCCACCTGGAGCTTTCCCACTGACTGGAGTAGTGCTGTGGAGGTGAACTGACTTCTCCAAGACCTGATTTTTCTCCCACCTGGAGATTTCTGGCTGAGTGGAGCAGGGTTGTGGAGGCAAACTGACTTCTCCAAGTCCATACAGACAGGTTAGCTCACACAAGATCAAAACTACAGGGTCCTTGGATCAAATTCTTTTCTTTTCTACTGCAGAATCTTAGGAAAGTGGTTGGGAGAGATGTCAGTTTTATGGTAGTACCATTTGTACTGGAATCTCGTGTTCAACAACAAAAGTGTGGATGTTTAACTTCCAAACATCAGTTTATCCAGGTAACACCCACAATTAATGAAAACTTAAGAATTTTTATTCTCTTCCTCTTCTTGAGGCTTCCCCGAGCCTTTCACTGCTTGACCCCTTCCTTCCAACCACATCCAGCTCAACTTGGTGTCACAAGTCCTTCCCAGTGAAATGACACATTCAAGCTTTCCCCCCCAAAACCACCTCCCATATAAATATTTCAGTCTACATATTAGGTCACTCCTTGCTCCCTCATCCTTGGGGTCCCCAGGTGAACCCTAAAACCAGAACAAGCTCTCTGAATGCAGTTTGAGGAGACACTTCACTCCTAAACAGAGAGAAGATGTGTGCATGGGTCTGTGCTGCCAATACATGTGCTCTCCCCAGGGGAAAACTGTTGGACAACAAGAAATGGAGAGAAGCCCAAGGCTACAGAACTGGATGGAACCCACACCAAGACAAAAGGACAGTCAGTGACTGTACAAGAAAGACATTTGGTGGATGGTGTTGAATCCTTCTGAGCCCTCGAGGAGTGTTTGGGAATCTCCCAAAGTCTCTCACCTCAATGTCTACAGCACCCAATCTGATTTCAAGTCCAATTCTTCACTGGAGTTGTCAGACGTAACACCTCTAACAGGCACCAGCAATAGGTAATATGGTACCTGAGGTAACCTGGACAATCAGATCTCTAAAGGAAGGCCTCACATTTTGAAAATTAGGTCAAGGAATGGAATTTTTTACTACTTAAATCCTGGCACTTAAATATAGAACCCAGCTCCAAGATAGGAGAGCTCCCGGAGGAAGTCAGGAGAGGGAAAAACAGGGGAATGCATCAACACCTAAAAAAACCACTAGTAGTCTCAAATTATGGTGTGATGACAGCAGAGTTTTTCTCTGTGGCCTCCTTTCCCTTGGCAGCAGCCATCCCAAACTGTGGCACATATGGCACCATGGCTTTGGGCTTGAGGCTACTTTGGATAAACCCATGGACATCCGTCGGTGTGTGCTGAAGAACTCCTGTGTCTGTGAGCAGATTCCCTGTATGGAACTGACACAGCATCTCAGAACTTTCTGTTAGAAAAACACCGTTTTCTCTTTTTTCCAATGGTGTTATCCCAAGGTAACACAGGCTCCGCTCAAGACTGTCCGTGAAAGCATCGTCGTGGTCGGAAGGCTCTGAAAATCCCTCTGAAGAGATAAGGGACAGGGTCTTGCTGGGCTGCCTGCCCGGTGAGCCAGGGAACACCAGAAACACTCCACTTCCCACCTCCCAAGTGCTACTGGAGAAGGCACCTGAAACCGTGGAATCTTCTGCTAAGAAGCATCGATCAAAACAACTCCTTGGATTCATTTTCCACTCGCAAAGCCCATCGGATCGGGAGTTGCCGACAACAGTCGCATATTTGAGGTCAATTCCTCCACTGCCCTGCACCTCCTGGGAGCTCTGGGAGGAGCTGCTGCTGTTGAAGTGGCTGGTCGAGCAAGCAGAGTCACGTTCAGAGTCTTGGGGGTTTGGAAATGTGGAAGCAATTCCTAAAAAATCTTGTGTGTCTTCTTTTTCCGAGGCTTTGGCGACACTGATGTCTTCCAGCACTATGTCTGCATCTAGGAGAGGTTCAAATGAGGTGGCTTCAGGGTGCTTGGTAAAAAGATGCTCAAAAGTTTCAGGCTGGAAGAAAAGAGATATTTTAATGCTCATCTCTTGCTTAAAAGTTTTACTGCAGTATCAAGGTACTGATTTTATGGATCACAAATCCAAACACCTGAGTGCATTCCCAGGGCACTCTGAGGACCCTGGAGTTTTGCCACATCAAGTTCCCACATTGTTTTTCAAGAGCATATAGTTGAAAATCCTCTACAATATATTTCCTCAACAGATTTAATAATTTATATGGCAGCTGAAGTAACTTTCCTTGCTAGGATTGTATTATTCAGGGTCAAATTCAGCCTGTCCATAGTATTTTGGAACATCTCCATCTAAGCAGCAGCTCTATGTTTTGGGTGAAGAGAAACACCTTTACTTCAGAGAAATATAGGATTTACTACTACTTAATACAGGTGTGTGTACAGCAGGATGAACTGACAGCAACACCAGCACTCCGAGAGCTACAAAGGAAAACTCACTTGAAAAACATACATTTCCTAATGAATTCAGGACAAAACAGACTAAACCAGGTTTTATGTATATCAACAAACCATGTTTTACAGCAGGGAAGCTGCCAAAACAATGAGGAACATGTCAAAATACTCAGAGGAGTGTGCAATTATAACAAAGAGTGTACAACTCATGTATCTTGGGCTTCCAGTCACTCCAAACTCGCTATCAGTGTTGCCTCGGCCCTCGCGTGACAGGACTGATTTCTTGTGACTTCAGTACTTGTCCCACACAAGTCCATCACCAAAATTAACAGGAAGCTTTTGAACAACCAAAAAACGTTGTGCCCCCCTCATACACCTGCTCGCCTGAGGCAGGTGGTTTATCCTGAACACAGATGTTTATATCCCTTCCCTCATCCCAGCCCCTGGGATCTGCTCTCTGGACACCACAGCAAACACAGATAGAGTTGCCTACAGAGATTAAACCCACCACATCCAAGGACCAGGGGTGTTGTGCGGCAAAGGCCACCATCTGTCAGCTCTGACACATCACTCATTAAAGCCTGTCAGATATTTATCAAATACAATGCATAATCCAGTGTCTTGGGAAATGGAATCCTCTGGAGTATCAGCCAGGACACAGCTGGATTTCCAGATGCATGTATGGTGTGAGCTAGGTGCAAACTGCATTAAACAACAGGCAAAGGAGCTCCATAAAACTCAGGAGAAAAGTCAGCCTCAGGTCACCAGCTCCCAGATTTGCTGACCAGATGGAACTAGATCCAAACCCACAGGGAAGCTCAAGCATGGCCCAAAGGTGCTCTTTTGGAATTACCAGACCTAAATTTGGATTATTGTCTCGGTGATGATACTCTGGGACCAGGAGAAACTTTGTTTGCTGATACAAACTAAGGTGCATAAAGATTACACCCATGGGATTCTAGAACTGATTCACTAATTGCTGTAAAATTTAAACATTCAAAAGAGGTCTTGGGGTCTGGTCCTGACACTTTTCCAGCTCTCAGCTCTCTGTATTGCTGACTCCAGAGGCTCCAAGTTCTTCCTTCAGAAGTTAGGCAGGGTCTGGCCTAACCCACAGGTAGAGCCCAGTCCTGAACTCACAGCAGCCAGAATCCCCGGGCTGGGGGAAGCAGCATCACCAGGGAAATACACACCTGCTGAAAATTAACTCCTTGTGCCCACGAGCAATTCTTGGGGTTTGGAACATCCTCCCAAAGCAGCTTCTTCATTCTGAAATGTCAGGTAAATGCTGGAGTTGGTACGTCATAGGGGCTGTACTGTACAGAAAAGGAATCTCTGCAATTTTATTTATCCAGAGCACTATGACCATGAAACATTCATTTTAGATATTACAGATGGCTGAAATTTAATGCAAAATATAAAGAAATAAAGAGGTGACATACCAGGTGGCAGTTTTGCAAATTATCAAAGGTACAGACAGTCTGTGCTGGATGACCCCAACCCACCAATGCCTGAAGGGGCTCCAAGAGAGCTGGAGAGAGACTTTGGGCAAAGGCCTGGAAGGACAGGACAAGGGGAAATGGCTTCCCACTGCCAGAGGGCAGGGTTAGGTGGGATAGTGGGAAGGAATTCTCCCCTGTGAGGGTGGTGAGGCCCTGGCACAGGCTGCCCAGAGAAGCTGTGGCTGCCCCATCCCTGGAAGTGTCCAAGGCCAGGTTGGACGGGGCTTGGAGCAACCTGGTCTAGCGGAAGGTGTCCCTGCCCATGGTAGGGGGTAGAACTGGATGAGCTTTAACATTCCTCCCAACCCAAACCAGTCTGGGATTCTGTGAAACCAGTTCAGCAGACTGGGACCAGTGAAGCTGCACCACCTGGGACTTTTAGATGACAACAAAAAACATACCTTTGGTGTGAAACCAGCAACACTCCCAGCAACAAAACAGAGGTTGAAATAACTATTGGCAGAACCACGGAGAGGCTGCCATTATTCTCATTTTCAAATCCACCTGGAAATAAAGGAGTTCAGATAATAATGCAGAAAAATAATTTGTCTGTGAACAAATAGTTTGCAATAGGGAAATAACACACAATAGAAACAACTGCTTAAATGGAAAAAAGCCTTGATAAACAGTGTCATTGCAAATCAACAAACCTTTCCCTTGAGAATAAAGAGACAAAAAGGAAGGAATCATTTTAAATAGGAATTTAGTTTCTCACTGAACTAATCCCACAGAGTTTTCAAATTAAAGCTACTGAAGTCTGTTTGTAGTTACATTATAATTGCTTCATTACTGATATTTTTTTCTGGTAAGACAGACTTTTGCATTTAAAGGTCACTTTTATAAGCTCCTATTTTATAAAAGACAAGGACAAAGATCCTGTCAGTCACCTTTGCTAAACTGATCCGTTGCTCTGGCTCTGCCAACTCCTCCAGCAAACACAGGGTACAGGCTGAACTGGTACTTCTCAATCAGAATAAAGTAATCTGGAAAGAGGAAATCAGACATTTGAATCCAAAATATTATCCAACTTTTAGACAATTCCCTCCACAGAGGCTCTGGTCACAGTTCAGAGTTCAGATCAACCCAGAGAAGGCAATAAGGGAAATAATCCTTTATAGATCCCTACTTTAATATCATAAGATTAAAACTATTAATCCATCCTGGATAATCCAGCATTATTCTGTCATGGAATTAACATCTTCATGGATCTACTGTAAAAACTTTTAAGGTTAAAGCCAAAATGCAAATGAAAAGCACATACTAAACTAATTAGCTTCTGTACTCAATATTCCAGAACTAATTTTATTGTATTGCCACAAAATGCCACTCCTGAGCCTCACTCTGTTAAAATGATTATTAAAACAGTCAATCCTCTAATGATCATCAAAAATTTGTCTATTGGTTCTTACCATGAAAGACATCAGAAATAAAAATAGGACTCCAAAAGCTCAGCAAAATAACATATTATGCGTTATATTTTCAAGTGCACACTCACCATAAATGTAATATTTACTCATATTTGGAGGAACTCGCACCCATTTTGTCTCCTCTTCTTTGTTAAGGTTCTTCCACTCAATAACAAAGGATGTTATCATATAGATTTGGGGTGAGAGAGTCCAGACCACAATGACACAGGTGCTGTTCACGGGGTAAGCGCTCAGTGACCGCACGGCATCCACTGAGGAACAGGGAGAACAGCCACGATCAACATCCCATAAACTATACAGGACTGCTAAATTTCAGCACTTGAACACTTGTTTAGTTATCTCCTACCTAATAAAGCCTGATCTTCAGTTGACATCAGCAGAGATGTTTCTCTCTAAGCTCAGTTTACACCAGTCCCAAATGCTAAATACATCAAGTTTCTTAGACATCAAATATCCCGATTCTCATGTGCACCTCCTTATTTATCCTTAACCAAAAATTATCAGCAAATACTGAACTGTCAGGAATAAACACAGCAGAGTGCAGTCAAATCCATGAATTGCTACTCAGGAAGTCAAGCCAAACCTCTGAGAACTCTGCACCCTGGCAGCCCGTCAGGTGAGCAGCCAGAAACGCAACCACATTTCATTTTGGAAACAACAAAACATTCCCCAGCAGGAATGTTGGGTGTTCCCAAGTCAAAGTAGATGAAAGATTAGTTCTACAGTAGGATTTCATTTTTCTTTGACTAATTACTTTATATTCTGTTAGGAGGGAAGTCAGCCCAGTGACAGACAACTCTTTTCCCAACCCAAAGATCATTAGGATTTTCATACAATGGAAATTTCAGTTTGCAAATAGCTCTCTTGGTCCTGAAAGTATCCCCATAAAACATTTCTTATTCTAACAGAGGGAATTTTATCACAAAGAAAGAGCATCACAAGGATTCCTTGTGATTCCCAAAATGGCTGTTCTTACCTGTGCTCATTTGCTGTGAAAGAGTTAAATTAAAATTAACTGAAGAAACTCCAATAGAATTCATGGCTAAAACTGTGATGGTGTGAGTGTGCTCAGTCCATGGAAAAGACCAGGTGGTGCCATGATCAACATATTCCACCCAGGAGGTGTTCCCTGGTGTCTGGTGCTTTATGATGTATCGGCTCACGCTGCACAACGAGTGGTTCTTCATCAGTGGCTGTCGCAAAAATGGGCATTAATTCATTCCCCTGGCTCTCATTTCCAAAGCAAATGTTATTTGGGCAGTGCCAATTTTAAGAAAATATGACCCAATATATATATATTCTGTAACCTGGCTCCTGTCCTTTTAGCCAAGGCACTGGAGTCCATGTAAAGACTTAATTCCTTCTGTGCCTCTCAGAGAGCTGACACTTATTCCCTCTCTTCCCAGAACAAGGAAAGACAAACTTTTAGATTCCTACAGTAATTCACTGTTTCACACATTTTTTAGGGTTCAAAACCCAGAGCAGCCAACTGCACACAACATGGGCAAACAGGAGTGAGCAGGCACTGAGGGACTTTTTCCTCTGTCCTGCCTCAGCCTTTAAAAGCCAAGAAGGAAAAACCATCTCCAACTGCATCCCAGTAGTATAACCAGTATTCACCAGGATTAGCCAAGCAAGAGGCAGATCCCAAGTCCCATAAGCAATGACTGCCTGAGTTTGCCTCACAGGGAAGCATGTGGTTGTCAGACTCCCTTTTTGGCATTTCTTGCCATTTTTTGGATCAAAATGGTGGCTGCTCTCACCTTCCACACGAGCGTAACGTTCTTCTGCCTCCTTGCTGGATCTTCGGTAACGATTCTCCAAAATTCAGGGCCTTGCAAGGGAGCTGCAAAATGACAGTTTGGAAGAACAGTGTCACTCCTCAGTCTGGAAAACACTGGCCCAGATCTCAAAGTGCCCCTGGAAGGACACAGACCTCTGATGTCCTGTACAAGTGTTTGGGCTGGTCTGCTCCAGTCGCTCCAGTACCCGGATCCATCCAGCTCCCTGCACCGCACCTGGACAACGTACTCCACACAGAGCTGCTCAACTTCTATCACAGCTGAGCTGTTTGGGGTGTTTGAGACTTCACAGAGCTGTGACAGAAGGTTAAAAAAATGTAGAATAAGAGCAAAAGTCTGTTTAGGTAGCTCTTGGAGTCAAAATCCCTGAAAATTAATCCAATGAGAAAGTGAGATAATCAGTAATATTCCTTTGCTAGATACTGCAAATGCTTATGCCTGTGATTTCTTCCATGCCAAATATTCCACAAAAAGCAGCTACACAGTAAATGACAACGCTGCAGTGATTCCTGCTCCAATTCAGACTAAAAAAACAGTACCTCCCATGGAATCTCTTCCCTGTTCACTGCGTACCGGATCTGGAATTTCAGATCACTGTTTGTAAACACAGGGTTTGTCCAGCTCACGTTCAGCAGCCCCACATTCCTGGTGAGTTCTGCTCTGATATTGGAAGGGGGAAGCGGTTTCACTGGAAAATTGGAAGAGAAAAAAAATGGCTGTAATATCTGCACTGACATTCCTCATTAAATCCAATCATCATGGATTACTTCTTCCTCATCCTGGGGGTAGCAGGTAACGTGTTGTGGCCTCTGCAATTCCAAGAAAAGCAGGACTGTGCTGCAAACACATAATCCATGGGCACGTTTCCTTGTGTTTCATTTTAATTTAAGGCACAACAGGTTATTTTGGTGCTGGCATTCAGCATTCATCCCTGCCCTGGGACAAACAGCTAAAGATGTTCACATTTGTGTCTAAAAAATACCCAATGAATGCTCTGAGTCACAGAACAGATTATAAACCGTGATTTGCACATTTTTGAGTCTTTGAAAACACTCAAACACTGCTCCTGCCTCTTGATTTATACAAATTTAAGTGCTGTGTGTGTCACAAAAGAAACTTTGCGTAAGTATGAAAGAGCATGAACAGTCCCCATGATCTTAAATAAATATATAACTGTGTAAATAATACATATAGTGCCCTACTTATCAAAACAGAAACTAATTGAAGGCATAGGAGGTATGAAAAGTTAGATAACCAAAAATTACCTAATTAAAAAACGAGCTGCCTTTTTCAATATAACATTTGTATTTTGTGTAGGGAAAATAAACATGCAAAACTGGACGTTTAATTTTACAGGTATTTGGTGCAGTTACAATTTGCTCCTGTGCCAAGCAAAATGTATGGAAATAACATGTAATCCAAGACAATATCAAAGTTTTTATGTTCTTTAAGTTATTTTAAATGCTGTGGAAAACTTTAACTACACCATCTAAGGACTGAAATCCAAAGTCACAAGTGAAGAGAGATGTGCATGAACCTCAACCTACCCACGTCTGCTGGAATGACACAGGCTGGGGAGGATTCAAGTGTTCCTAGGAAGTGCTTGAACTCTATCCACAGAGTATATCCAGATAAAAGGAAAATAGGCTGAAATGTGCACTCGTAGGAATGATTCTTCTGCAAATGGCATTCTTTCACCTCTGATTCTGGAGATGGGCTTGGAAACTCAGAACAATAAATCTGGCTCCTTAAAAGAGAAAAAAATCCCACATTCAGTTGATACATTGCAATTCTAAGCTGCTCATGGCAACAACAAAACAGAAGTCTGGAGGTAATTAAAACAAATAGTGTCACTGGAACCATCCGGGGGGGGGTTTGATGATTATCTGGGCAGATCTTGAATCTGCACTAAATGGCTAAATAGCACTGCAGTGTCACTCCTCAAAGGTTTGGCTCTTTGCCTGGAAAAAGCAGGACATGAAGGCTCTCCCCAGTGCAAAATGTTTTGATAGGAGACTCATGACAAGAAGAAACAGGTACAGCAAGAGCAGCTCCATAAACTCATCAATCATGTGATTTGAGGTGTTAGCAATAAACACAGCAAGGCAGATCTCCTGCCAAGAATTCATTCCAGTCAGGAATGACTTCCAAAATACCAACTGGAAATCAGGGGAAAGCTGCCACACAGACCAGTCAGACATGTACAGTGAGGTCTCCGGGAGATGGAAATCCCATAAAATATCAGTTCTGGAGGCTGCTTTTAAAATACGGTTATCACATCTGGCAGCAGAAGAGAGGAGACTGGCTTCTGGATAAAATGGCCCTGGATAACTTGTTGGAAATGGAAAGTTTTCAAATTTCTCCTAAGCTTGTGCACAGCTCAGAGGGTGTGGTGAGAGGGGCCAGAGAGGGTATTAGTTACTCAACTGAACCACAAGAGTTACACTTGGTTGAATCTCTCCTCTTCCTGTCCAGTTTAATACTGATTAAAGCAGTGCCTTGTGCTTTGGAGGTTTAGCTTGGCATTCCCTGTTCTCCCAGAATGATCCTTTCGGAGCTGTTTCTGTTGGCAGCACTGACTGTAGAGGAAGATGTAGTAACAACCCAAGCAAAACAAAACTCCAGCAGCCAAACCATCACACACATCACTGCAGGGCTGCATTTCAGCTGCAAAATCTAACAGCAGCAGTAACTCAGAAGACTTTTTTTTTTTATTTTCTCCTCTTTCAGATCTTACTATGAGCAAACAACAAAAAAAAGAAGAACAAAAAGAAGGATCACAGTAAGCACCAGCATTTGGGAAGCATTTGCAAGCAGTCTTAAAGTCACTCTTTGATCTAGCAGGAACACTAACAAATGTACAGATTATCACCTCCTACTAGAAAATAACATTTTTAGCTAGACCTGAAAAGTGAAAAGGTGGGAATAAAAAACATGGCAAGAGCAGCATGGGTTTTATTCCAAGCTCCCTACCCAGTAGTACACTCATTATATTCATAGTTGTGAAGACAGTTTAAACAAAACCTACCTTAGCAGTCAGCCAGTCACTAATCCTACCTGAAAAGCCTTCACTTGAAATTTCAAGCATTCCAGTTATTTCTTTAGTCCAGAAAACCCTGTGAAATATTCACCTTGGTACAGGATACTTCAAAATTTCAGCCTATCTCCAACAGAGAAGACAGTTTGGCTTTCCGAAGGATTAGGCCCTCAGCAGTTTGCCAAAATTTCTGCATATCCAGTCCAACAGAGCAGTAAGAATGGAGATTTTTTCTCTCAGGAAGGGTTGTCTGTCTGTCTGTCTTGTTTATATAAAGACTAAAGTGGTTCTAGGAAACTCTCAAGCTCAATATATCAGTAACTCAAAGGGATTCTTTAGTTTCATGGTAAAACAACACTACCAGGAGCAACATTTGTGCAGATGAATGAAGATAAGGGTGATGGTACCACTGATTTCATAATCAGGTTTGTATTTTGCAAACAATAATGTGTTTGCTGCACACAACATCCCAGTTCTCCTGCTCTGTCTAAAAGACAGACAAAATTAAACTATCTGAAAACAAAACATCAGGAAAACTGAGAACTCCCCATCTCTGAAAGTGTTCAAGGCCAGGTTGAACTGGGCTTGGAGCAACCTGGTCTAGAGGAAGGTGTCCCTGCCCATGGCAGGGGGTTGGAATGAGACAAGTTTTGAGGTCCCTTCCAACCCAAACCATTCTGGGATTCTAGGATTCTATGAATTGCTGTAGTCAAAGATGCAATATCCACTTCATGAACTAAGATTTGATTCTCTAAGCAAGATTTTTTCCATCTGAAATGAATTTATTTCATCCTATATTTTTATCTGTCTGCATATAGAAAAAAAGATAACAGAATTATAGAAAAATCAAAGATTATATGGAGACCTCAAGAGGTCCCAGGTCCTACATCCAACTCAGAGCAGGGTTAAATTCAAAGACAGATGGAGTTGCCCAGGGCCCCTTCCAGTCAGGATCTGAGAGTCTCCAGGGACAGATTCTACAGCCCCCCAGGCCATTGCTCCAGTGCTCAGACACTCTGTGAATGGGCTTTTTCCTTATTTCTTTACAATTTGTTAATATGAGCAACCAGAATAATTTTTATAACTGATCCAAGCAAACTATTTGAAGAGAGCCGGCTCCCAGAGTGCATCTACAGTTTTTAAAATGCTGAAAAACGTAAATAGATGTATGTTACATACTCGGGTATCTATGGTTCCCTTCTGCACACACAGTTATACCTTTGGAGTTCCAGTTGGAAGAAATCCAGCTTACAGAAACTGGAATTTTCTACTTGCATGTATTCAGAATTCTTCGCTGGCATAATATTTTGAGCAATGCTTTCCTATCATAAAGAGAGAATTAAAAGCTCTACATACCTGTAGTATCTTAACTGCAAGGAACTCCCAGGGAGTAGTAACATGTTTGGGTTTGCAGACCAACTGCAAGTCATTTTAGTCAAGTATCCATCTGTTTCACAGGTGATATTAATATTCATATCTAATTAAAACACATTGAAAGCTTATTAATAAAGATACAATGGCTTATACAAAAAAACAATGCTCAATAAAAGCTATTGGAGTTCAAATGGAAATATTCTGACCTTACTATTAAAATGCACCAAAAGGAGAATTTAAAATCCAGCTGGAATCTTACCTACTACATATAATTCAGCGTATCTAGGATGACATTCCCTACTTTGGTGACAACAGTACAATGTGTCATAGAAGAAACTTCCTCTAGGTTTGGTTGCTTTCAAGTTGAAAAGAGTAACTTTGCTTACGCGATCGCTCACAAGGGTATAAAGACTGGCTGGGATTTCTTCTGCTAAATTCAGCCACCAAACAACCTCCTGGGGCTCTACAATCTTGCTTTTGTTTTTATAGATGCAGTGAAATGAAACATTAGAACCAGCACTGGTCAGGATCTGAGGAGGGAAGTACAGGACTTCAGCTGCAGAAAAGGGAAGAAAGGGGAAAAAAAGCTGTTGAGATTAGAAATTGAACAAAAAGAAAACATAAAAGCTAGAAAATAGCAATTACAATTATTATTATTATCATCACCATTATTATTATCATTATCATCATCATCCAGTTGTACTTCTAACTTCTTAATCACTGTTAACAACCACAATGCAGAGGAGCAGAAATTACCCTTGGACTGTCTCTCTCCATAACTGATGTTTGTAAATTCTGATAAAAATAAACTTTAATATCCCCAGGCAAACATGAGTGAAATGAGCAGAAAATCACTGGAGGGTACAGTGGAAGCAACACACAGCAGCACAAGGGAAACATAAGAAAATTAACCAATCTTTCCAGGAGTTGCTGCTCCTGCTCCCACTGAAGTCAGCAGATTAAAGTTTCAAAAACTTGTTTTACAATCTCAGCAGTGTAATTAACACCAAATGGTGGCAGCAGTACAAAAATTCACCCAGGCATAAAGACACTGAATTTCCCAAGGATGTAAAGATGTGTAAGCTGAGCCTCCATCAGTCAGGGACTCAGGGGAGGTACAGGTGCTGAACACCTGCTGGAATGGAGCAGTTTGCCAAAGATCATCTCAAAGCCAGCATGAAAATCTTTAAAAGGTCAGGTTTACTTTCCACAGCTGAGGAACCACTTCAGAGATTTGTAGAATTTCCCCAAAATACAGGCCTGCTCAGAAAGCACAGCACACTTAGGATATTGTCATTGTCAAGGATTTTCATGTTAAATATAAATCAGAACATGAGGCTGGTCAGCTGTAAAAAACTAGAACTCCCTGCATGAAGAAATTAACCCCTCTCTGCTGCCATCAGGTTGTCACATTGGGATTATTCTGCTGATGAGATGTATTTTTAATAGAATTACATATCCCATAAATGGGATTAATAAAAAATAATCTAACAGTAACTACTGCATCTCTTTTAAATCTGTATTTCTCAATACATTCATAAACCTCTGAAAATTATCAGTATATACATATGTGAGAGAGAGAAAATGTGTATTCGCCCCTAAAAAATTCTCGAAGTTATATAGTTCTATACACACACTTTTTTTTTTTAATTTATATGTCTATATAAATGTAAATCCAAAACATTAAGGGCCAGTTAGGCCTCTAGACCTATAATCAGGCATCCTGTGTATCATGTTTATTTGCCTTAAGGGTCTGTGTATTTTCACTTTTCCTGGGAAAAAGCTCCATTTCAAAAGTCTAATTCTTTCCTCAGTACTTGGTTTAAGCACACACATGACACGTTTAGTCACAGTAAGAGATGTCCATGTAAGGGCTCAGGTAAAGCATTAGTTCTGGCATGGAATGGTTCAGAGGATTCTTGTGACAGCACAGGCCAAAACATCTCCAGTTAATCCTAAGCAAAGCATGGAAAAATCCAACAAAAAAAATCAGAAAGTCAGTTTATGCACAGCATTACACACCTAAATGGGTTGTTAAATGTACATTGAGTTCTGTTCTGGGTGTTCAGTTCAGCTACAAAGTGAGAGAAAGCATTAGAAGAAAAATCTTGTAGCGAGTAGAGATTCAGCACTGCCAACTGTCTTTTGAAATGGAAAACCTCTTGAAAAAAGCTTTTCCTGGGTCTGAACAGGTGCTGGGTGAGCAAGGCACAGACATGGAGGTGTCACGAGCTGCCACTGCAGTCTGCACATGTTATCCAGAACTCCTAATGCAAGTCTGGCACAGAGAAAAGAGCTGAGCCTCAGGCAAAGCCAGGCAAAAGAGGAGCAGAAGGAGAAAGTGCTTCCACAGGATTTTTCAGCCCATAACACCCTCAAACTCATTCCACAAAACAAAAAAACTGGGACATCTGTTCTGTTCCAAAAGACTACTCACTGCACGTGACCTACCTCCCAAACTGAGATCATATGGTGTGCTCCAGTCACTCCAGAACCCCAGCCCCTGGTGATTCCTGCACCTCACTTGAACCAAGTAAGAGGAATCAAGTAGGGTATTGTCAATGGCCAATGAGGCTTCCAGAGCAACTTGAACCATCTGTTGGATTATCACAAGCCATTATTGTTGTATAATGAAACAGGAAAAGAGAAAGACACAAATTAGTCTAGAGGGTAGTTTTTAGGTAGCAAGTTGGGTAAAAAAGCTTTCTTCTTTAAATTTACTGTGAATTTGATTCTGGTAGAAGTTGCATAACTCTGTGGAGAACAATTTATTTCATTATGGACTGCTAATTAATGGTTGCTTTTTATTCCAGAGCCAGTTGTGTGGCAGAAAAAGCAACTCGCTAATAAAATCCATAAATATTAAACATACACACATGTATCATAGAATTTGGGGGTTGCTGAAAGTAAAAGGCTTTGCCTTCAGACTTCACAGAATCTAGGATTTCATCCAAACAGAAAGATGGAAGTTTGTTGTAAGACCCAGCAGGAAATGGGCCTTTCATCCCTATGTAATGGCTCTTTACAGATGTAAAGTCCAGCTCTCCCAGCTGAGGGAAAGGCAGTGTGCCACACCCAGCTCCACCAGACCTGTCATGTTCCTCAACCCACCAGCGTTTCTACTCAAAGACAAGGAGGGTTGTGAGAAATCCTGGGCTCTGGGAGAGCCCCCTGATCTGCGCTGCTTCATGGGAAAACCGTGGGAAATCCAAGAGCACGGAGCTGCCTCACCTGCCAAGTGCTGTGCCCTGGCTTTGCAGAGATCCTCACTTGGTACTGCAGAGGGTATGGCAGCAGTGCAGGCTCAGACCAGCACATCTTCAACTGACCTCCCTCTGTCATTTCCAGATGCAGGTTCAAAGGAGGTTCAGGCTTTACTGCAGACAAATTCATTGATAAGTTCAGCTCCAACCTCATTGCCTGTGACTGCTGGGTTTTACTGAGCCAAAACTCCCTCTCACACCTTCTCTTTAAACTCAGTTTTCACAAGCTGCTCTACAGCTGCTATGTGACACTGATGATGTGTAGCATCACTGGAAAAGCGTGCCCTGGTACTGTTATATAGCTGGTGATCACAAAATGCTGTTTCACCTGGTGTTTGCCTTAAATCTACATGAATTCCTTGCCTTGGGTCATGACTCTTCCCAGCAACCAAGCACCAGCCTGCCTGGCTGAAAAGATGGGATGGGTAAGAGAGGGATGGGAGAGCTGAGCAAATCAATCTGCTCCTCAGAAGACAGAAGATAATGTCCTCATAAACAGACTGTATACAAGGACTTTCTAAATATTCCCATCCTTCCACAGTGATTATGGTTCTGAAAGAAGGTCTCTAGGAGAGCTACCTTAGGGCAAAGTAAAATGGAGGGTTTGGAAATTTCCCACGAGGATGGAGAGAACTCTCTGGAGAGGGGAAGGGATGGGCAATTGGGAATGATCACTAGGATTGTAGTCCCACTTCCTCAGACAAAGGCAAGGACCCCAGATCCTACTTCTATCTGTTTCTCAGACCTTTACAGATCACCAGTCTTTTGGTTGGCCTTGTCCTCATTCACAGTTTTGCTCTTACAAAACATTGCAGGGTGAGCAGCAAGTGCAAAACTGAAGAGAAAACATTTCCAAAACATTCCCATTGGGCAGTGGGGATGTGTTCCCTTCCAGTTCCATCTGCACTGGGTTTCCAGCTCTCTAGAGTGTCTCATATAAGCAATATTACTGGAATCTCACTCAGTTATACCACAAACCTGTTCTTATTTTCAGTATAAATTCACTCCACTAAGTCAGATCCTATTTAATTATTACTTATAAACCATCTCAAAGCAATTAAATTCATGAAGCCCAGCAGGGAGTGATTTGGGAGGAGGCAGAGCTTTGAAAACCAAAGTCAGAGGCTTTTACATCACACTCTTACGAATCAGATCACACTTTCTGAACACAGATAATGATTTCTATTCTGCTGATGCCACTGCTCTACTATAAGCAAATAAAATAAACATTACACAAGCATTCATAGTTTTACATTCAAAATAATTTTAATTGAGCTGAATCTTGGCAGAACATATACTAATATTATGCATTTTTAAAACATACTTCACTAAGCAGAACTAACTAATTATGTCATTTTAAATACTGGTAGACTCAAGTTTGAATTTTTAATTTTTTCCTGTAGCATAATTTAAAAGCAGCAGATGAAAAACGCAACCTCTCCTCTTCAAAACTAGCTTACCCAGAGACTTTGTACTGATCCTGTCTGCAAAGCACATAAGTTGGGAAGAAGTTTATAAAACTCATAAGTTTTTAAATTAATAAGAAGTTTATAAAACTTCAGTTTTCCCCCCCCCACAGCTGACAGACTCCTTGCCTTTATGGAATTCATCCAAATCTGCAGTAACTGGGCATATTGGACAGCAACACATATCAAATTCACAATGTCAGTACAGTTTAACTTGATCAAACACAGAGGAATGTTTTCCAACTTGGACAATGATGGTGTTGAATGTATAAGGAAGGGAAGCAGCAGGACAACAAAGCTGCTTGTGAAAAGAAGTGGGGTTATTTGTTAAGTAACTTTTGGAGCAGCTTTTTTCTCCCCTCAGTTTTTAAGTCCTCAGCTACATGGACAGAAAAGCTCCCTCACAGCCCCACAATGAAACACAGAGAGGCCCTGATTAGAAAGGAAAGAATTAGAAATAACAAGTACATTGACTGCCTGGCCTCTGCTCACTTTGGTTTGTACTGGAGCCCAGACAGGCATTAGGAGCTGAGAAATCCCAGGAAGCCTTTTCCTGTCCTGTCTGTGCCCTTCTTTTCCAGGAGAGACATCCTGCTGCTGTTGCCCATTAAGAACAATTGAAAATATAGGTCACACTCACCTATGTCAACGGGCTTGACTGACATCAAAGGTGACCACAGAGGTGTCACACCAACCAGCACCTTCAGCCACATGATGTAGGTGTGGTTGAGCCTCAGAGAGGGCACAAGACACTCACATGTGTCATCCTCAGTGCACTCACACTGAGCAATCCTCACGGTCCCCTGGAGAGAGCTCGTGGACACATTTCCCAGGGACAGCTCTGAGCTACAAAAGGGAAAACAAACCATGAACCAAAACAGACCATGAACCAAAACAAACCAGTATTTTTTCTATATCTCAAGAGGTTTGTCCATCTAGATAAGGTTTATTTATAAAAAAATAATATTAATTGATGAAAAAAGTAAAAAAGTAAAAATTGTAACTAATGGCTTTGACTTTGTTGCTTCTCCCTTTTGAAATGGTTTCCAAGTAAAGTAGTTAACATGATTTTATTAAAAGTATTCCTAAGGCTTGGCTTTAAAGCAAATGTGTTACAACACTAGATGATACCTGTAGTTTAGTCAGACTAGCTCCCGATTCCTGAAGGTCTCATTCCTAGATCCTTCTCAAGCACACAAAGTTAGTTTACTTTCCAGTGGACTAATTGGCAGCTCCCTGCACCCTCTCCCTCAAGATTATGTTCTAATTCCTCTTCATGAGGCACTGAAATAATATTGAAACAATTTCATATTCCTTCCAGCTTCTGCTACAATTAAGCATTACAAGTAATAAAATAATCATGGAATGGTTTGGGTGGGAAGGGACCTCAAAGCCCACCCAGTTCCACCCCCTGCCATGAGCAGGGACATCTTTCACTAGACCAGGTTGTTCCAACCTGGCCTTGGACACTCCCAGGGATGGGGCAGCCACAGCTTCTCTGGGCAACCTGTGCCAGGGCCTCACCACCCTCACAGCCAGGAATTCCTTCCCAATATCCCATCTAAACCTACTCTCCTTGGAACCAGCAGTCCCCAAAGTATTCTTTATTCTCATTTCTAATCCATAGATATTCTTCAGTCTCTTCCAAACACAGCTCCATGTTTATGGAGTCCTGCAGGTATTCAGTGGCACAGGCCTCCCTAAGGTAGGGGATTTAAGAGTGTGAATAGTTTGTGGCCAAACTTCTCACAGCAGCAAAGCCAAGACAAATCCTGACAGTTAAACCACTTTGGATTCTTTCCTGCTTTTGACTTTTCATCCTTAAAAAAAAAAAAAAAAGCTTCTGTTTTGAATTGTTCCAAAGTAATTTTGGAATAATTTCTGTACAGTAAGGGTTTTGTTTTACTAATTCACAGAAAGAAATTGAAGTTCAGAGAAAAGAACCTTTCTGTACATTTTTTAAATAGTTTTATAGCTGGCATGACTCATTGGAACACTTGAATTCAGGGAGGGCAGAGAACTAAAAGAAAGGACAAGATTTTCTGTGCTTTTTTTGGTTTTAGTCAATTTGCTATCTAGTACTTTTATTTGAGTGTAAAGCACAGGGGACTGGGCATGATTCACTGCTTCTCTTACCATTCTCTGCCCTACTTAAAAAGGAAAAGGTCAAAACAGAAGAATTATGGATTATGGGAAGAGCACATGCAAAGCCCAGACTGGGCCTGCAGGAACCCCTGCAGGGTCACTCCTGGCTCATCTGGAGTCAGGGCCTCATCCCCCCATCCTGCACTGATCAGCACACACAGGTGCATCCCCCTTGGGTTTAGGACATTCTAAGGCTGGGAGCAAGGATTTTTAGCACCACTCTGCCCTCATAGCACTGTGCTCTGCAGTAACCACCCCAGAAGTTATGCAAGTTCCTACGAAAACGTAGTTTATGTTAATTAATGCTCCAGCCAGCCAATACTGACATTCCCCAAATCATTTTCAGCAGGGCTCACAGACTTCAGGACACAAGAATTATGCTGATGGCATCTGGCAGACGTAGAGCTTTTAAATTACTTGGAATTATTTTGTTTTTATAGTCGTGGCTCCGCTTTTTTCTCCTGAATTTTCTTTCAAAGACTTTGCAGAATTTTCTTTTAAGTTTCTCTGCTTTCTACTGTTTCTCACTGATTTTATTAGTCTCAAAAAAGCCACAATCAATTCATAAGAATGTAGTCTTTTCATCAAACCATGTCTTTGATCTGATCTATCTGGAAACTGGTTACCACCACCCCACCCCCTAATCTTTCCTAATCATTATTTCAATTTTTAACCATCAAAATGAACTTATTTACACCCAAAAAGCGGTGTACAGGAGGAAAAATGGTAAAGAGTTTTTCTCCTTGTTGTGCCAGTGTCAGTACTACTGACTCATCAACCCTCACAAGTTCAGGAGAGGTCAGTGCCCTCACACAGTAGAGCGAGAGGAGAAATTTGGGGCAAACTTCAAACAAGTGAAAGGCAGCGTGACTTTCAGCTGGAAACATGGGATTAAAGCATAAGAAGAAGGAAAAAAATGAAATACTGCATGCCCTGAACCACAGAAATAATTAACACTGCAGCAAGGGCACGTGCCCAAGGCTTGCTTTCCTCCTCCACTCCAAACCCTGTCACAGATTTAGTCACCACCTTAACACCTCCTAAATATTTTATATTTTGGTGCACTATTCAACCCTACTTCAGAAGGTGATTTTACTTATGCTACATTAATCTGTGGCCCCATGGCAAACTTTTAGACTTTAAATGTCTTGAGTGAATTTCAATCATCTTCTTGCAATTGGAAAAATGAACTGAAAATAAAAAGTCAAAACTATTTTAGGAAGAAATACATGAACTTCTACAGTCCCCCTAATTTCAGGAAAGGTACATCTCATGCAGGTAGCTATGAAATAAAGGTACTATTGTAATTCTGTTCTCAGTATTTCTATATATTGTTTGTGCAAGCACCACCTTTAATAGGAATCAGTGGAGCTGTCCAAGGTTCAAGGACTTTCCATAAAAATATTCCAGTGTATTTGATACGTAACAGCTCTAGCAAAATCCTTCTTTGAAGAAGCTGCCCTGTTAAACTGCAGAACATCTGATGGCTGTTGAGCTCACGGGAGGATAAATCTGTAATGAAAGGTTGATATTCCCTGGCTGAAGAAGGCTCGGTGTATGACTGATGCACTCAACTAAGACACCAGTCTTGGGGCTAATTGGATGGTTTATCCTTCAAAAATATGGGAGTCTAGTCCCAGAACTAAAGGAGAGCCCCACAGGTACTTCAAATAAGTCAAAAATATGAATGCATTCTATACACCACCATCTGTTGAAAGGGCAAGTGATAATCTGTGCTCCAAGTGAACATTCATCTGTGTCACTCCAAAGGGATCCCTAAGGCTAAGGCATTTCAGCTCATGGAATTAACCACTGGGGTTTACAACATTCCTAGAAAGATCAATCACTTTTGGTAGACAATTAATCTAAATTATCTAATTTGGAATAATCTTTCCTCTCCCAAATCCAAGCCAAGGGGAAGGTAAAGCTCCATCATCACCTTTGCTTGAGCCTCTCCCAGAACACGGCACTGGTTTGGGCAGAACAAAATATTTCTATTCCAATGATACCATTTACAAGCAGGAATACTGTGGATGTGCAAAATAAGAGGGTATTTCTTTAATGCTGGAAAAGATAAAAGCTGGGAAGGACCCAAGCTTTTTTGTTGTGGATTCTTCTAGGTCATTATTTCTGTGCACTGCCTGTCCTGTATATGAGAATTCTGGCTTGGTCTCCTGACTCCCAGGGAGAAACACATGCCAGGAATGCATATTTTTAAAACTGGGCATGTTTTCAAGGTATTTTGGCTCATGTGAATAAAATGTTAAGGTATCAGCAAGCCAACAGGGAAAGCTGTCACCTCACCAAAGTCTGAAATGCTTTACTAGCTGCTCTCCCAGCACACAGGGATCCTAAAGGAAAAATATAAATACAGAATCTGGGGAGTGAAACAAGTTCTCCAATGTCAGGGACTGGTCTGTATCTCACCTTTGCAGCAAAGAGGAATCAAACAGAGAAATGCCAGGAGGACTCTGGTGAGTCCTTAGAGCCTGCTCTCCTAAATTGCATGGCACTTACTGAATTCCCTTCATAACACAAAGAACCTCTTCATCCCAGCTGGGACTCCAATTTGTTGTTCCATGGATGTTTGGCATACCAAAAAAATTCAATACAGAGATTACTGCCCTGGGATCACTGGCAAAGATTATCCTATTGCAGTTGGGACTGGACGGAACAGAGGCAAAGTCAGATTTACTCCCATAAACACCCGTGTAATGGTATTTCAGAAATCAAAGTAATGAAGAACCAACTTAATCAAAATTTGATTTCAGCTTTAGAGTATTCTGTCAGCTAACCAACCATATTTATTCCTAGTTAATACATTTGCTTTCTACCTTGATTACAGGGATGATTTGTGGCAAGACATTTGTGGCAAGACACTGTTTTGTTAAGTAAGAGATATCACCTGTAAATTCAACTAAATCAGCTATTTAAGTTTATCCTGCTTCCTAAAGAAATTAAGTGTCTGTGTTTATGCCATTCTTTCCAATCCATCAGTAATTCAGAAGAAACTGTGTGGTTTCATGGAATCACACAGATCTTTTTATAACCAAATCAGGCAGGTCATATGCACAAGACCTGTCCACCCACAGCCAGGATGATTCCATCTATCACCATTCCAGGGAATATTTACCACAGTGACAGTTGCACAGGTGAGTGTCTCTCAGAGGCATTGTTGGGATTAGAGTAGCATTTGGCACTGTATTACAGGTTAAGCACCATAATTACTTCAAGAGAGACAATATTATGGTCAAAGGCAAATAAAAGGCAGAATCAAGAGGGCAGCCTTAAAAGTAAGCAACTGTAGCAGCAAAGCAACTTTAACAAGTCAACACTGATTTCACTAAAGCACTTTAAGAAACACAGAAAACACAAAGGAGGAAGACTCTTCATTCCAACCATTTCTCATTTAAAGAAACCTAAATTTTCCATATTGCCTAAGATTACTTTTAGACAAGACAAAGGTACATAACATAATCTGCTTTCTAAACTCAGGTTACCACTGTGCTGCAACCTGGAATGCTGATATTTTAGAAAATGCTTTCAGATTTCCAATGTCAATAGTGCTAAATTTAACAAAGTCTGTACTTACCCAGCATAAAAAAGATTAACCTTCAAGTCCTCTCTCAAGTACAATCTCAAAACCCACAGGTTACAAACTAACAGGTCCAGCTTGCCTTTAATCCAACATTCCATGTTCCAGTTTGAACCTAAACAAAAGAAAGGGATTACCCATTCCTGACCTGTATTAAAACAAAATAAAACCACAACTGAAGAGCCAGGATAAAATTCACTCCCAAAGAGAGGACAAGTAACAGATATTCATGAAGGTGAGGTTGCACCACAAATGTGCAAATGTTTATGAATAATCTGTATTGAATTAGATGCCCTTTGACACTTGCAAGGCTCCCAGTCTGCAGTACTGCTGCACTGGCATTATTAAAGAAGGACTGTTTTTTACCTGGCTTTATGGACAAGGCTGCAGGGTGGAGAAAAATGAAGCTGCTGCTGCTGGTTGCTGTGTTGCTGCTGTGAAGGGGCACAGCTCTCTGTGCCTGTGCTGCGGGTTTGTGCACATACAACTGCAACACGTGGGACACACTTTAACAGAGAGTCTTTTGTTCCATGGGGAAGTTCTTGGAAAATGAAATTCTACTCTACTGAGCTCAACGAGATTCCTGCAGGCCAGTATGTTCCTCAGAGACTGGGGTTTACAGGAGAAAAACAGTCTTGGAAAAAATAATTCTAGTCCATGTACAGATACTTACTAATGCATCACAGTTCATGCAGAAATTATGCCATTCACTCTCCATCTCCCCCACCTCCTAAAGGAGTTTAAAGCCCATGTCCATAAAAAATATATAAAATATTTCTCATAGTGTGTAAACTCCTTTGAAGTTCTGGGCTTACATCCTCATATGCAGTGCTACATATTTTATTCAGAACTCCCCTAGAAAGGCAGCTAACTTTTTTTTCCCCCTTGAAACTGTGCTCTACAATTTCCTTCATCTTCCACTACAGACTCTGTGAGGAAGGATTTTACCACACTGTGTTGTGTGCCCAGGAAAAAAATGAATCCCCGCTAATACAACCCACCCCTCTCCTCCCAAACAACAAAAAAACCCAACCTGTTTTTGAAGAAGTAACTTCTTCTGCCCTTGAATGCCAAACCCACCTATTTCTTGAGAAGCAGAGATATTTATTTCTGAAGGAATAAACTTCCTTGCCTGCAGGCTTGCTCTGTACAAAAAACAATCAATGTTGTTGTCACTCCAAAGGCAACACAGAAAACTTTCTTCATTCATTAGAGGTTTGATTTCAGATGTCCTACGATGGTCTCTCCTCAAACCAAACCAACTCTCAACTCCGGCAGAGAAAGGGCTCAAAGCTGTCTCATTCAGCAGCACACAGGGTAATGTAAAGTTCCTGGGAGGAACTGGATGGACCATACAATGGGCAACTGCCATTCGAAGGAAGTCTGCAAACATAAAGGCAAAGATATTGGAAATAAATGAAAAAGTTGATCTTGTCAGTGAAAAGGGACCGGTTGATGTTATACAGAAACACACAACATAAAAATCAGGCTGTTTCCAGGGGCTATTCTATGAGTTGCAGACACAATTACTAAAAACATCCCCTCTGAACTGGTGCCACAGCTGACAGATGTCAGCCTTTCTGCTTAAACTCACAACACCTAAACTTTGGATTTCTCAGCCTCTTGAAATAAGGCCAAGATTGTAGGGGAAGAACCTCTTTGGGTTAAAATGGCTTATATTAATCCAAAACATGGTGAATCCTATACCCAAGTTCACACACTTTACAGGTGTGACTCTCATCTCCCCTGAGTGCTGGAACACATTCACTCCAGCTCCTATAACACAGCTCCATTTCTGTAGGAACAAAAATAATCCTGTTGTAAATATAAGACATAATCACACTGGAACTGTTAAATACCAGAGGACAGTGTTACAAGGATGTATGACTGGGTGCATTATCTGGGAAATGAGATGCAGAAAAAAGAAAAATTTTTTCCATCAGATCCTTCAAAATGAAATTGCTCTGACCACATTTGCAGCTCTTGTTGGTAAGTCAGAACTTGAATTCCACTCCCAAGGATTTTGAGAATGATGAGAGTGTGGGTTTTGGAAACAGCTTACTGTAAAACACTATGATTTCAAAGATTAAACCCTAGTTACAGAAAGGCATGTGGGTCATTTGTGCACTTTGCACTTAGCTGTTTGCTCAGTAAGGGCATAAATATTTTAAGCAGTTCATTAGATAGAAATTAATTGATGCTCTATGCTTGCAAGGGCCAAAATAAGAAAAGAACAGAATTTCTCTAGCACTGTTCGATTAATAGCACAGAAACATGAGCTAAACAATACAAAAGTACAAAAGTTTTAAAAAATAGTAGATGCAGTGTGTTATTATGCAGAGTGTTAAAGTGTTTAGTTTTCTCTCTCCACAGATTTTGTGCTGCCACACTCTTGGAGGGTCCTGCTCTTTCCTCCTCTCCCAGTTAACGGAGTTTGTGCCTCTGTAAATACCAGCTTCAACATGCCTCCTGGCTGCATGGGGAGGATGCAGCAGAGCAAACTGACTCTTAGTCCCTAATATATGATTTAAAAAGGACAAACAAGTGCCATGAAGCAGGACAAACAACCAACGCACCACTCAATTCACAGCCCGTCAGCTCCCCTTCCAAGGAACAACTTCCCCCTCACATATCACACCCCAAGGGATTCATTAAATCTTATCAAGTCAAAATGTGTGCAGCTCCTTCCCACTTCTTTAGAAATGTAAAAAATAAAGTTAAAATGAGCCAGAGGAAGCCCAGAACAGCAGCATATCTGAGTTAACAGGGCTAAAGATGCCAGCTGTGGTTATCTGCTTATGGCCAACCCATGGATACACTGATTTTCAGTCATTCCAGGCCATCAGAGAGGACAAACTGCTTGGAAACCTCAGGAAAACTCCCTGAGGCATCCAAGTTTGTCAATTAAAGGTACACAATATGTTCAGATCACGTAAAGTATTTAAAAGAATGTCAACAATGCAGTATTTGATACTGAGTGGATAAAAGTACATATATAGCAAGATAAAAAATATGTATATATATATAAAAATATGTATATAGAAAAGATACAGAAATCTAACGATTTATTCATCTTTTATAAGGATATAAGATGACACAAATTTTGAGATTAACTTCACTGGATTAAAGTCTTCTTTCTCCCTGAGCAAGATCATCAAGTCTTCAAAAAGTTCTTATTTTAGTAAAAAAATGAGAGGCAAATACCAGCTGTCCCTGAACAGCATCTGCCAATATTGTTACAGACATTTCCCGATTAGAAAACTAGTTTATTAAATCCAACATTTGCAGTTAGTTGAGCACCCTTTAACAGCCCTGTGCCCATGGAAGCAGGAATGTCAGCCTCCTAAAAAGGCAGAGCTCAGGCTCAGTGACACCTCGGCTACACTGAAACTTTGCAGTTCTGGTGGAAAAGGGATCTTTCCTTATGCTTTTGGACCTATTTGGGTAACAAAACAAATCACCCACAAATTTCTCTCTTATCAAATTCTGACTGGGGCATTTATCTGAATGTCTCTTGACTTACCACATACTTTCTACTGATGTTTCCTGAGCTTAAAAGTCAGTTCACTGCTTTTTTGGGGTAAGAGACACAGGCACAACCCTGAGAGGGTCAACATTTCAATCCCACACAATGACAACATCAGGTTCTTTGTACATTCTAGATGCATGTTGTGATAAGATACTAATCCAGTAGCATGACTTGAGACACCACTGTGAGACAGAAATGTGATTCTCTTTATTCTACACAACTTCCAACAGACTGATCCTTGTAGGAACTTACCCAACAGCACAAGAATGGTCAGAATGATTTGCCAATACATCTTGTTTTGTAGAGCTGATCTGAAAAACACACAGAAAATTAACTGAGAGCTGACAATTATCAGTCTATTATTTCATTAGGGTTTCATTTTGGTGCACTTCAGTTAATTTGACACTCACACCTTCGTAAACAGAATCACAGAATTCCAGAATGGTTTGGGTTGGAAGGGACCTTGAAGATTATCTCATTCCACCCCCTGCCATGGGCAGGGACACCTTCCACTGGACCGGGGAAAGGAAGAACAGGTCAGAAAGTCATTTGAGGAAAAAAACTTTGCTTAGAATATCAATTAAATACCAACACAGCTCTTTCACCATTAGGGCCCTCAATCCTCCAGGCTTTTGCTGATTATTGTTCACCTTCTGGGTTTGGTCTGAAAGGCACTACAAACCCAAAGGATACCTAATTTTCCAAGTGCAGCACAGACAAAAGCACTTGGGCACCCATTTCAACTGTGAAGACTTCACTAAATTTTACAGTACTATTTCAATATTGTTCTTTCATTTCAGGTACTTTGTTCTTTTTTATTTTCATCCAATAGCTATATAAATTCTGTTAAAATCTGAATATAAGCATTTTTATGCTTAAAGCTCCAGAGAAGATATCAGAATAAAACAGAGTTTGGCTGCTGTTGTATTTAACCAGAACTGAGTGATGAGTAAAATCTACAGCTCAATGCCAGGGCAAGAAATTATATTGAGGGAATCCCTCCAAAGTATTCCATTCCTTAAATATTTCTGAGAACAGTTTCCTTGAGAACAACAATGTAGCCAAAAGAGTCAGTGCCAAGGTTATGTAATCCACTGGCCTTCCAGTTTGGGGCTGCATGTACTGTTATATATATATATATAATATTATATATATATATGCAGACAACTGACCAGTGAATGACAATATTCCAGGATTCTTGTCTCCCCCTTGATTCTTGTCTCCCCCGTCCAGCTGAAGGAGGGGGGAGCCAGAGCTGAGCCATTTCTCCAGCACAGACCATCTGCACTGTGGTCTGCAAGATGACTCAGTCCCAGCCACTTTTCTTCCCACTCACCAGGTTATAATCAGGGTACATTTAAGTTACATTTTCAGCAATTAAAGAGGAAAGCTCAAAGGGTGTTCAGGCACTGGAAGGGGCTGCCCAGGGAGGTGGTGGAGTCCCCATCCCTGGAGGTGTCCAAGAAACAACTGGGCGTGGCACTCAGTGCTCTGGGCTGGGTGACAAGTTGGGGATCAGCCACAGGCTGGACTCAATGGGCTGGGAGGGCTTTTCCAACCTCAAGGATTCTGCCATAAAAATGACCAGATAGAGTAATCAAAGAGATTCTGACGTCAACACTAATTCAACCATAATTAACAATATTTGGACCAGGAGGTAAAAATAGAGTTCAGATCAGCTTGGACATCTTCTCTTCCTACTTCTGTCACATGGATTTTTACAAAGAAGTTATTTTCCTCTCCCGGCTCCAACGACATCCATGAACCAGTGCTGTACATGATCAAAAAGCTGCACATCCCCAGCATTTTTCTGTTCAATCTTCTTTGTGTAAACTTTACTGGGGAATTGGGTAAAAAGAGATATCTACAGATAAATCCCAGGGCAGAATAAATGTATTACTGGACCACAGAGGGCTTCCCAAAATCTTTTCCAGTGAGAATATTGGCCAGAATTTCTAACTTCACTCTAAGAAAGAATACAAGTTTTACAAGAACAGTTACAGGGAACAGAGAGCTAAATAAGGAGACTTATTAAAACTTGTAACTATAGCTTTATCCCAGAGAGAGTAAGTTAACACAGCAAGAACAAACCATTTTATGCACAACTGGGAAAGTGTTCATAAAAAGGAAGGAATCAGAGTCTGTTTAAACACATATATCTTAAAATACTGTGTTCCAGAACCACTGACTTTGCTGCTGTGTATAAGAAATTTTCCAATTTCTTATGTAAATAGTGTGTTCTTCTCTGTGCCAACCACTGCACAAAACATTTCAGCAAGCAGAGTCCCTGCCTTGACAAAAACACTGGATTAACACCAAAAAGCAGGTAAGGAGAACAGCAACAAAATAAGATCATTTTTCTTTACAGGTCGAGTGAGAAGTCATAGAATCCACTGTCATTTCAACATGGGAAACATTTTCAGCATAGCCTGAAACAAGCAGGACCCACAAACACCTGCACTGGGCACGGAAAATATACTGAAAGTTTTCCTTTTCCTTCTGGAGCTGCCTTTTTCTTCAGGTTCTTGTCTCAACAACTCACATTTCTGCACGTCTCCTTTCTGAACCTCAGGAAGAGGGTTGAGGTGAGGAGGGGATTGCAGAACCAGGCAGGTCTACCTGTCCAGTTTGAACTGAGGGTGGCACTGGTGGATCCCTACAACCCATCCCAGACACAGTAGAGCAGCACAGCCCCAACACCATTGAACTCAGCTGTAAAATCCTCACCAACTTTTACAGGGACATAGAGATCACAAGAGAAGTGTTGCAATGAGCCAATGATGAATTTCAAAGCCGACAGAAATGTATAGAAACCTAATTTCCAGGATCTCCTATTTTTCCCCAACTAATATAACATACACATACAGGGTCTAGAGCTCTCTTTTTCTCATTCTCACCCTCCCAAAAACCAACAGCTGACTGTTAATGGGAAACAGGAACATAATACTGCAATCATACAAACTGTTTTTGCAAGCACTGCACCACAGCTGTTTTTAAATATTTTAAAAAATTGCTATAAAGCATAAAAATATTTTAGTAATAATGGTCTCTGCACAGCATCTTCTGATCTGCTCTTTAAGGGTGCTGAGGGCTTCCCAGTCCTATTGATTTGGGCAAGACCCTCCTGGGCATGGAATTTCATTGCTCTTGTCTGCCATTGAGTACATCAGATATCATTATTAATAAAGAGTTTGCAGTAAGTGGAACATACAAAGTAGAAATGTGTATGACTTGCACTGAAAAATTTTGCTTTCTAATACTAAAACATTAACCAAGGGAACCCAAGTTGGGCAAAAGTACAGCTGCAAAATCAGGCCCCAAGAGTGCTGGTGGAGCCTCTCCCCTGAGACTCAATAGTAAAATGTCCAAAATTACAAAGAGTTTCTCCAGATAGTACAATTTCTCTTGTTTGTACCAAAAATACCCGTCGCAGATACTCATGCTGCTCACAGGCAGGTTCCCATCACCAGCCCAAGATCCAGCAGCATTTGCTCCTGCATCTTCACTCCACAGCACTGAAGTTTGTGCACAGTCACAACACACAATCTGAGAGACTTCAGTTTCATAAATACTCCTGATTTTAAGCCGGCAATAGAGAAAAGCGTTTTTAATAAAAACTTTCCCTCGTGGTTTTTCACATGTATCTGTCTTTTCTTATGCACTGCTGTAAGCAGAGCTCCTGCGCTTACCTGGCGCTTTGGGGTTATACCACGTTACAGCCACACTTTACAATGAGAGCTAAGGGCTCTCATTGTAAACTCTGCTTATAAATGCTGTATCGCTAATTAAGTTTCCAAAGTGCTCTTCTATGAGAGCGGGCTATCACAGCTCCTGCGGCATCAGAAATTCACAGCCCACATCCACTGAGATTTTTCTTTTGCTTCAGAATTGAATCTCGGGGAATAGACGGAGGGAAAGGGCCGGTTTGGGTACACCGTGCCTGCCTCTAAAATCTGGATTCTGCCAGAGGAAGGCAACGCTCCCCCGCCGGCAGCGATCAAGGGTAATCTCAGGGGGATGTTTAGGGAAACAAGAGGGGGAAAAAAGTAAATTCACCGACCTGCTCTTCGCTCCCGGAGTCCCGACCGACCGAGCGACAGCCGAAGTGACGCCGCCACCGCTCCGCTGCCCGGCCCCGGCCGGGCGCTCCCCTCAGCCCCGATCGCTCAGCGCCAGCTCCCTCGGCCTCCCCCGGCTCCCTTCAGCTTCCCCCCGCTCCCCTCAGCCCAGCTCCCTCAACCTCTCCCAGCCCCGCTCCCTTCAGCCGCCCCGCCTCGCCCGGACGCCCCGCCCGCCCCGCTCCCCCTCACGGCTCCTCACACACACACGGGGTGCCGGGGGAAGGAGCGTCGGGGCTGGCGAAGGGTCTGGAGCACCAGGAGCGGCTGAGGGAGCTGGGGGGGCTCAGGCTGGAGAAAAGGAGGCTCAGGGGGGACCTTCTGGCTCTCTGCAACTCCCTGACAGGAGGGTGGAGCCAGGTGGGGGTCAGGCTCTGCTCCCAGGGAACCAGGGACAGGATGAGAGGAAATGGCCTCAAGGTGTGCCAGGGGAGGGTCAGGTTGGGTATTGCGAAAATTACTGCCCAGGGCAGTGGTGGAGTCCCCGCCGTCTTGATGGGGCCTTGGCAGTACTGGGGGAACGGTTGGACTTGGAGCACTTTTCCAACTTAAACCATTCTGTGATTCCCTGAACACCTGTCCCCTTCAGAGCACAGCACTTCACTGAAGAAAATAAAGTTCCAGCCTTCAAAGAGCTGCCAGGCACTGCGGTGGGACGTGCATTTTGGCCCTTCTGTACTTCAGTGTTTGTCCTGATGAATAAAGGGTTGATACATGTAAAGCAATACCACATATTTAACAGGAACTTGCAATTAAAAAACAACACCCAGAAGTTATTTCAAGGAACTTAAAGTCGAGGACTGAGCCCTGCTAGAAAAGACGGACTCAATGATCTTGGAGGTCTTTTCTAACCTTAATGATTCAATGCACCTTTAATCTTTCTTGTGCTCATCCTTTTGGAAAAGACAGCAAGAGTTTAGAACTAGCAAAGCAGAGACTGATAAGTCCCAGATGGGTGCAGCTGAAGGGGTTTTTTAACTTTTTTTTTCTTTTCAGCAATATTATTTTAAAAGAAATGCAAAACCAGCTTCATGAGGTATGGAGAAAAATATTTATATTTACCTACTGCAAGCTCTTCTCAAGCAACCAGACTGTAACTATTTTTTGAATGGTGTAAACAGTTCTTGGAACAAAACCACTGCTTGGCTTTAATTTATTTATTGACTTTCTGTAATTCATGATCCATTTCCTCA